TGTTCGCCGCGAATCCCGCGCGCATTCGTCTCGTCCACTTGTTCGACCAAATTTAAATTCGTACTACTTGAAATATTTATTTTGACTCACAATTCTACTATAAAATATTCTATCGCTATTGGGATCGTTGTAAATATAATACTTAAGCGTTATACCAACTTTCAATGCGAAGACTTTGTAAATAAGTTTTTATTTCACCCTGTAATCTAAAAAATATTATTCAAATATACCTTCGTCCGGATGAATGCCGTATCCGCGCGAAACTTTATTCACGAGGCAGGAATAAAAGTTTATAGAAATAAAAATATGCTCGACGGCGCATTCCGGTTTTTGCCAAGCGGTGAAAGCGGATTCTTTTGAAACTATTCTCTGCCTTTAATTTGTAAATAACCTTTTCCGCGGCCATGTTAACTCGTTTGATCGAAAACTGATGCCAGGCGGTTGCGGCGAATCACGGTGAAATACCTTTAAATGTCACCGCGAACTGTCGTAACGAGACGCGTTTAATAACGAGGGCTATCAAGAGACTCGCTCGCGCGTCTCTACCGCGTGTCGCGGAAATAGACGAAAGTTTTTAATAGGATCACGGAAAGGACACCGTGCAAACTAATAGTTATTAGCGATGCAGTCTGTACCACGAACGAACGAAAATTGTTTAATGGCCAGGAGTACCAATCGATACTTGTCATACGAGCACTATGCACATTAGCCGCGCGTTACAGAGCCGGGATGAAACTTTAAAGCCATCCCTGGATGTATCGATTCGCTCAAGTAATTTTGTAACTCGAGGTCTGATCAACGTGGTTGCACTTTAGCGACCAATGACTCGAACGTCGTCGACGATCGTCGCTACTTACCGGGGCTACCAAGATTTCTCCTCTTAAATATTACTGACATCATTATAATATTTTACAAAAGACAGTGTGAAAATGCTGTCGGTGGAAGGAGTTGCGTGAATTTCTACTTAGGGTCAGCAACTGTTTAAAATTCGGAGCACGAGTTTGGTAGATGGAACAACGACTAGGGGTTTGTGTCGTATCTCGTTCGACAGCCTAAGCCTCGAGGATAGAGTCCTTGAGTCCCTTTTTGATCAGACCTGCCATACGAGCACGGTATTATAAAAACGTATTATTTTCGTGATCATTATTATTATACGATTGACATTTATTTGGAAGTTTCTGACACGTGTGTATCGACTGGACGGATTAAATGTCCGCTCGGAAGGTGTTCGCTCCGTGCACACGACGCTGTACGCGACGTTCTATCGACAACGCGAAGGCGTGCCAATATAACGAACCGCCCGATCCGCCACTGTTAATAAACGGAATTTAAATAGAGCTGTTGATCCGTCACTAACGAACTTGCATAACTGGCAACAGGCTCCAATGGGTCGTGTTCGTTCGGTTCTTTCTTTTCAATTCGCAGGTTACGTAAGCGCGTCGGTGACGTTTAAAACCCTTATTTGCGAAGCGACTTAACGGGACGCCCCGGAATTTCGGGCTTGGAAATTAAGAGTTCCTTATAATTAATTTTCTCCGCGAGGCGAAGAATAATTGGACCAGAATGAAGATAATTGAACCCATTGTGTAACGTTGGTTAATGAGATATACCGGGTAAGGCGTTTCGAACAGGCCGCCTGAATAGCTTGTCTATTTTTGGCGATGGAAAAAAAAATCCGCGAGACCAACCTTACTTGGTTTCAAGGCTGACGATCGGTCGTTTTTTTTTTTCGTAGGTGGGAAAGTAGGAAAGGTATGTAGGCCGCGTGTTTTCAAACGGAGCGATCAAGCACTTAAGACTACGAGTTCGAAGGTCATTCGAGGTTGCAAATCATCTGGTCATACTATTCGTTTTATTCGAAGTAAAAGACACGCCGCGAAGTTCTCCAATCGTTGAACCGAGCAAATGAGAGTTCGTTGCGACAGAAACGCGCGTTCGACGGGGGGCATCGCGTTTTGCAATTCGAATGTCGGTAATCTGTCATAAATCAGGCGAGTCGCAACGGAAATGGTAGCTAATTGTTCCCCGTGCATTGTAAATGTAGATTTTGGAAAGAGCGATAGACTGGACGTTTCATGGGGCAAACACTAAAATGATTACCGCTTTGTATCGGTTCGATTAAAGCTTCGTATAATGTACATTAACGGAATATAAACACACGCAGCGAAATATTCCTTCAGTTACACGTTTCGTGGATTGTAATTAAAAATGTGGAACGTGCATACGAGCATATTAGTTTCGAAACCCGCGTATCAAATTAATAGTAACCGAATTGAAATCGAATCCCCGACAGTAATTGCAGAGCTTAATTTAATTCACAGCAATATCTAAATTACTGTTACATTCTGCATCTGATTTGTTTGCTTTACCTTCGTGTTGGTCGCTAGTCAAAGTCAATATTACGTAAATTCTACGACTGTTTACTATATTCAAAGTTCTACGAGTCCATTTAAGAACACGTATGTCACCTTCGTACGACCTCTGCAGAAAAGCTAATTACACCAGATTATTTCCACCTCGATGCCATTAAATTTCTGTCCGAACCATTTTTCATACCGCAGGTAGTCCACGAGTAATTTGCATTCATAGATTAGAGTCCGGTACCCTGTGCACTAATGGGTTTTTCTCGTTTTTAGTAATAAATAAATATTCTAATCTAAGGTGGCCTGTATTTTGGTATGCCCGATCTATTAGAATCGTGATAACTTGAGGTAAAGTTAGACGATTCTTCCTGTATATATCACGCATCGTCTAACCCCGTCTGTTCTTCCACGGACAGATTCACATGCGTGAGAAAGTTTCGAATAACTAACACGCTATTCCATTTCAAGTTCCGCAATTAAAGGTACGAGCGAGCAGGAAGTACGTCTTTCCTGGACAGTTCGCCGCGACAGTTCTCCATAGAATGTTCCGTCCTATATTTTTTCTAGAACGAAACCTACTTTACGTCGCGATTCAGGCTCCGCAATTAAATGCGGCCGAGTACGAAGCCATTGTATCGTCTTTTTTTTTTCTACCGAAGTAACCTTCGAAACCGACCTTTTTCCCTCGCGGAATGAGGTGTGCAATCACGAACCAGATCTCGCGGACCATTTCGCGTGACGCGGCTTGTTACGAAAATGCCCGCTCGGGACGAAGTTAGTCATCGGAGTATCTGGAGTGTAAAATATTCGAGCAGAAATGGACATTCGCGTTCGATCTACCGTTGGCTTCCTAGAAAAAGGAATCGATTCTTTCCACGTTCTCTATAAAAATACACAATCTTTTTAATAAATCGTCCGTCGATAGATCTTCGTAAATCGACTTCACCATCCGCGAAACTTTTTCCAGAGGTGGAGGTTTACCGTGTTGAAAATTTTCAAGTTTTCCTTCAACGATCCAAAGATATCAACTTTTCGCACCGCATCCTTCGAGGTAGCGTAACTTTTGTAATTTCTTGAATTTTGATATTTAGAACGTATGTTCTCGAGGTCTTAAGCTTTGGTAATACGTGCAGGAAAATATTTAACGTGAAATCGTATCTTGTACTCAAAGGGTTTTAGGATCGTCGTAGCAAACGCAATGGTAACTATATTGATTAAATAACTGATACCAAGTAGCAGACGACGGGAATGGCAGAGTTTGCTCGAGACCGCGGATTAAGCGAGTTTGTAATCCGTGAGAACTTATGATGTTGGGTTTAAGGCAACCTTGAGCTAAGATCCTGACACGAAAACGTCGCGGTGTGATCAAGAATCGGATACCGTTTCGTTCACGATTATGTTAATACGTTCGAACGCTCGGTTTTAATTGGAACGAATCTTGTGTGTCGAGTCGCGCGAATTGGGTTAAGCTGTCTAAATTGGACTACTTTCCACATTTTCTTAAATTAAAATATCTCCAACGAAATTAATTGCATATTTATTTACTATCCATTGTATTTAATTATATGTGAATAGTTTCTAATTCTTACTTTCAACGAACGATCTAGACAAGAACCTCGATCCATGGACATATTTGATATTTGAACTCGCTCTTACGATATCAAGAGTATGAAAACGTGTCTCAGTCTCTGTCCCATCGCTATCAGGCTGTAACGAATTAAACGCACCGCGTTAATTGCAAAACTTATTTACGTCGTAATCAGATCATGTACGAAACGAAAGTGCGTTAATCGTGCAGCGTAACTGTCTGTGCTCCGATTATCACAATCAAACACGATGGACAAAATTTTGTTTCCCGTTCGATTCGTCGCTTTGATTTTCGACAGATTTACCCAGGGCATCTCGATTTATTTTTTCCACACGATTATCTACGAAGCTACCCAAGGTTGGAAGAGCCATTTATGAAGGGTCGGCCATGATTTACTCCGTTTCGAGGGGGATGTCAGCATAATTCTGATTTGAGTAAGTTGCTTCCAAGATTTGGAGCTCGCCTCTGTTTTTCTTCTTTTATGGAACCGACCACTCCTCTTATCGGACTTTCGCTCGCGTGGAAATAAATTCGTTCTAACGATATTGGGGACAAGCTACTTTTCAAGATCGCAATTATTAACGTGGTCGCGCCGGACCGAGCAACGTATGATTGTATTAAAAATGAAAACAGAGGCGACCCTTTAATCTCGAAAGACACTCGACCTTGATTAAAATTACGCTCCACCCTAAAACACCCCTCTTGGAATTGAATAACTTAAAAACTCTGAAAAATTGAATAATCATGATTATGGAAAATGAAAAATTTACAAAATATCACTGACCTTTGAAACTTCAAACTTGTGATTTACGGAGGGGTTGAATTCGGAGTTTCTTCGTGCTGCTCAATAATATAACTGTGTACTGAACCAAATGGAGCTTGTTAGTCTCGTTAGTTATAAATAAATGAATAATTTCAACGATATTCGTTGATACCCGGTAGGTTGCATGCACAGTCGAACTGAAATCGTAAAAATCCGTATATTTTTTCGTACGCCGCGATAGGGTGGGAAAGGCAGTGAAAAAGAAAGACGATCGGATCGGTTGCGTATTAAAAAACTTTAGATAAGCTTTATTAACCGATATTTTACAGTTCACGGGCGCGGTCGCGCCATTAGCGTCTACGGATTGTGCTCGATGGCCGGATTCGAGCGTACGAGCGCAGCTTTTATCTCGAATTTCCAATTCGTGTTTGCGCCGCGAGCTCTCGGTCACTCGCGAGGGGAATTCCCAGCGATGGAAACCATACCTAGGGATGTCCGTTTCTGAATAAATTTACGAATAAACGAACCATTATCTCAAACCAACTACCGATCCTTTGACTCGATTCTTCTAACTTACAAGTTTGATTAATCAAGAATTTTTTAAATCGACTCTCGAGTTTCTATACGTTAAAAGCAAGTATTTCGTCGGAGCTTCTGCCTAACTGTTGTCATCAGATAGAGAATGTCCGTTCCAGCCGAACGTTTATTTTCAAAAGCAGACATCATTTTAATTGACTACCATACGATAAATCACTGATGAACGGTGACTCGTTTGACGCTTAATTTCTAAGCTAATTTGCTGCCTCGTCTTAAATATAAATAACGCAAATCCGACTCAAAGATTTCAAAGCGTACGCGAAATATGGTGTTTGAATATTTTTCGCATCGATCGTTTTGCAAAGAATCGAACATCCCTGTCGCTCCCCGTCTGAACGAAACGAACAATTTGAGCGTTGGACGAGCGATTCTATTGTTCTTTCGACGCGACAGCGCGTGTTCCTTAACTTGTAATGCAATATACTCTCGTAGCACCTTAGTCTTAAATAGAGAGAGGTGTATGCCAGTTGTCCGATCGCAGCTTCGAGGATTTATGGTGTCGTTTGTGCACGTGAGCGTCGTTACCTCCTAGCATGATCGTCCTTCAGCAATGGGGGCAGCGAATCAGACCGTTCACGTCGCATTTCGCGCACTTCAGGGCGACGAATTCCGCGGTGAAGTCGTTGCGGTGCACGGACCTTTTGCTACCGTTGCACACTGGACAAAGCTGCCATTGGTAACCGCCGCAGAACAAGCACACCGTGCACGCGTCGTCGCTCTGAAACGCAATCAGAAATAAGTCGACAGAGAGTCAAACACAGGTGCACTTATGGGATCTCTCACGATACCTTTCCTTTCGTTCTAAAATTACTTAAACGGCAGACTCCAAATGTGAACGCAACACTTGTACAAGTAGTGAATCTTAAATACGAAAAGGATTGATCAATTCATACTACTAGTTTATACCACTTGACTAACCTTTCGATCGTCGGTGGAAACCAATTAAAAAAAAAATTACCATCGACCGGTGTGAAAGAATAATCAGGCTCTAATGGAATATTGACATAACACAGATGCATGTTTCTTCAGCGAAAGTTTTACTGTTGCATAGGTGACGAGACGCGATTGGCATCCGATGCGTTAATGAAATAAACTATAGGTGCACGTTGCACACGTAGACCGTGTTTGTTGTGCGCAGGAAGATGAGAATAGCGATGATACGTTATGCAAGAATTGCGTAAAGATTCCTCTGGATACATCGTGGGCGTCGTTTAATAACATACTTTTACATCGAACGGGGGCCCTCGGCGTGAACTGTTCGGCTTTCGGAATCGCGGGAACACTTTTTTCATACTTGACAAATGGTTTCTTCGCCCCGAAAGATATGAGGTCGGACACCCACGCAGTTTCGTCGATCTGTCGTGTTTGATTCATCGCGACGACTCTCGGTGCCTTATCTTCCCGCAAAATGTTTCGTCGTTAATAAACATGTGTCTTATCGATAATCGCTGGCAGTGTATTTGAAACGATGAATTATTTGGAGATCCGTCGGAGAGCAAACGGTCCCGAATGAATGCATTTTCAGTTGCAGCGCAGATTTAGCATTGGAACGTTCATGGGAGATTCGCGAAGTCCGTTCGTCCTTCGAAGATTCGAAAGGACGCCCACGATGTCCGTAGGGCCCAACGGTGGGCGGAAGGAGTACCAGGAAAGTGACAGTGGCAGCGACAGTGTAAACGACCTTTACTCGCTGCAAGGTAAACCTCAATCGCACGACATCGAAATTTATGATCGCGTTGGAAAAGGAAGGTGGAGGCAGATATCGCCAGATAAAAGTGAAAGGACCGTACAACCTTGCGTTCGCGACGGATTACGGTGCACGCGCGCTCAGGTTCCTTTGTAACTCGCGGTTATATGCCCGACACACACGGTCGTTCCATTCTTCTACGCGGCATAAATATTCCGACGACATGGAACGCAGTTACATAGAGAATTCTCGGAACCGACACGGAATTCCAAAAGGGTCAGATAATTCTTGAATAGGCGGAATATCGACAGGCTGTCCCTGGACTCTTCCGAGGACTACACGTCGACGCGCGCGTATGGCCAATCCTTGCGATAATGGATCCTCCAAACGGTCCTTCGACGTTTCGGTATTCAAATGAATTAATTTTAATAACGAACGAAAACGAAGACTCGCTCGAGCTTTTATAAAATTTTAGTATTGACACAGTTCCTCCGTTGCTTCTTGACTCAGTTTTGTAATTATGACAGACGATCGCGAGACCACGCTATGCACGACCCTGCAACGCGTAACAAATTTATCACTCGGATCTATTTATCCTGATTCGAGCTTATTACAGAAAACATGTTGGTTTACTTTGGCTGTGACACCGTTCTTCCGCGAGAAAGCATCTGTCTTGATTTAGAGAATATATATAGAATTATATATGTTATAGATAATGCAATATTTCTAACAGTAGTAAATTTGCAATGTTCAACATGTCCTTATAATTTATACAGAGCCTACGTATCTTATAAGACCGATAAGGAAACTACTAACGCGTAGAGAATAATTTATCGGAGACGTTCAGGCGAAGAGAGCTCCAACGAAGGTAGTTAAGACGCGAAATATATTACTGTTCACGCGTTACTATAGTTTTCTTATGTTTTAACAAAATGGAACATTGTATTATTTACGAGCATTAAGCGAAACAAAATGCTTCCTCTTATTTCGAATCTTTGCATTATATATGAAGAGAGCTCCGAGGAAGGAAGTCGAAACATCGGCTAAATAAATTACTTTCTGAAGGTTATTATAGTTTTCTTACTGCGCTCATATATTAATAAGGAGGAATTAAATACCTCTCAGATGCGTGTTAAAAAGCTCTATTACGGCGAGTATATTATTTTGTAATTGCACGTTAAACGCGTCAGAACGATAATAATGGAGATTTATGAAGTATCGAAACTTCTTACGGTTCGATGAATTTTTTTCGTGTAAGCTACGATTATCAAAGGTGATCAATGTAATTTCAATTAATCACTTACTGTTCTAACCCATTTTCAAAATGTCAGCCGTTCTTGTCAATACAAGACTGATCGTTGGAAAATTCTATGCTCTGTTATTAGAATTTTTTAATACAGGATTTATGGGCTGAAGTTTATATGACACTTTCTTCTTACTTTCAGCCATAAAGTATGCTGCCTCTGGCCGGAAAATTGTCAGACACTCCGTATTCTTATTCTTCACGTTACACATCGATCTCTGTCCACGTTGAAACAGCGCATTTACGATTTGTTTTACGGCGCAGTTGACAACTCACTATTTGTTCGCGCGACGCGCAAAGTAATTTTTGAGATACGAGAATGATGCATGCTTCGTAACGCTGTTTGCTATTATTCAGAACGACCATGGCTGGATTTTACACGAAACATTCAAGACTAAAATATATTTCGAGGTTTATTTCAGCCCAGATTCCGAGAAACGGTGATTTAAGAAAGAACCCTGTTCTGCGGAGTCAGAAAATTAAAATGCAACTACGAATTACCTGGTAAGGCTTAAGCATATCCCTCAGCTCCCCGGATTCGTTGAGCCGTTCCACCGTGTCAAATCCCTGTAACAAGAAATAACTTTTAACGACGCGAAATGTCGAAATTAAAATAACGAAGAATCGAGTTAGGAATTTGCTCTCTAACTGTGACCTTGCTTCCGTACGTTATTTTACTTTTGCAGGAAGTACGCGAAATTACTCTATTATAATCGCAAATATGCCGTAATTGTGGTATTTGTGATGCCCTCGGTACAAACTTCGGTAAGGTCGTATAATTGCGCGCATACGAGGCAAAAAGTATTAAAATATTTACGATACAAATAACAGGCCACGTAATCACTTTGGTTTTGTTGTCGACCAATTTACCTGGTTCGCCGTGTTTTATCGTCGACCATTTAACAGTAGAGCATAAACGCGCGTGACAATGGTCGTGGTAATGAATGTTTTATGAAGCTTCGCGGCTTAAACGATGACACAATCAAATCTCTTCATTTGTAAAGTTTCAAATTAATTTCTTTACGCTCGCGTTCCAAGGAAACCAGTTAACGACGTGAACGAGGATGCGCCGTGAAAACATTATAACATTAGTCTTTTTAATCCTCGAGTTGCAAGATGAAAATCAATTTGAGCGTAATTAAATAATTTTCTAGGAATGCTGCTTCGTAGAATAAATGTCAAAGCATTCGAGCGCCAGACGCAGATAATTCGAAGCTCGCTCGGTCTCGGTTACATTTACAGTCTCGTTCATTGTCCCCGTCGAACGGTATACTAGCTTCGAGTATACTTGTCCATACTACTCCGCGATTCCGTTACATTTAATGAAGTGACAATTAAGCGAGAGTTACTGTAAAGCTGTGACGTACGAATAGGAACTGGATAAATAAAGATTTCTTTATTTATTCATACTTTGATTCGAGACAAACGTTTCTGCAAAGTTTAATCGAAATCTCTCTTTCGTCGGTCGCAATTACAAAACAGGTTAGGTTTGCAAAAGCCCGTCTCCATTGCGAGAATTGAAGCAAACGAAGGACACGCGCCACGGCGCGAAGCGAGGAAACTTCCAAAAGCATTTTTTCCGTCCGATGTTCGTGTTGGCTGTCGCAACGACATTACGAAAAGGAACGATTGATGCCTTTCACCGAACGCGATCCGCGTTACGAATCCCTCCAGGTGTGGTCGAACGAAAAAAAAACAACACAATAGAAAAAGAAATCGTTAAATAATCAATTTATCGAAAATGGTCGACCTAGCAAACTTTGACAAATTTTATTCTAAACCCTGGACATTGGTGCAAGTAGAAAAAGTCAGCAATGAGCAGACGGTGGTCAGATTCGGTGGATACGAAGAAACAGAGAAGGTACGATTTAGGTGGCTGGTAGGCGTTAAGCAACTCTCACCTAAGACTTTCGCTAAGACACCGATCGGCAGTTTTTCGAGTCTCTGAATGATCGAGCGTATGGAAATCGGCGCTGCGGCGTGGTCGAACAGGAATGCAGTCGGAGCACGGTCTTTCGTTTGCACGCTCTCGCTGAGAGACCGCGGAGGACCGTAATGCCGTGTAACGCAAGCGACTTCACCTTTCGTTCTCCGTCTTTCTCGGTTCCCGGCCTTGGAGTCAGCAGTTTGACATTTCGCTTTTACGCGCTTATCCGACGCCACTGACAATCGTCGCGAGTGGCCAGCGATAGCGGAGATGCGCCGTACGCGCACTAATCCCTCGCTTAATGAACCAAAATCAACCCCGCCCAGTTGCCTGTAACCCTTCCTCTCGTAATAACGTTCGTTCAAACGTGACAAATAGAAGCTCGTGATACACATTACGATCTCGACGTGGTAAAGAAGAGTCGCGTTCAAAATTTTCTCTGGATTTATTATTTGATCTTTCACCACAAACTGAAGACCAACGATGAATAGTAGTCGGGAAGACGCATCAATTTCCACGGGCCCTGAGCGTCGCCATTTTTCATTTTTACCGTCCTGTGAAACTTCTCTTTGCTATCTGATTTATGTGATCGCGCAACTATGTCCACGATCTCATCGTTGATAAAAAGATGAAAGCACTCTTTCATGGCAACACTTTCACTTTTTGCAGCCAAACTGTCGTTACTGTGTCGACTTTGTAAATTACGCCCATTAGAAGCCATGCACATCCACGTGCGTTCAGAAACGGTTTGATTTCTACCGTCGTTTTCTACGTACGTCTCTTACAGAAAGCGTGTTACTTTTCGATTATTGTAGTAAAACTTCAACGTCTCGGCAAAATGATAGTGTTCTTTCACTCGATAAATCTCCGCCACTGTAATTATCTTCTTGTTCTAGGAGATCCGCGAAAGAGCAGCTTCGGTTCTGCGGTTCTTTGTCTTTGGACAAACAAAGACTGGTGAAACTGTACGATGTATCCGGATATAACAACTGTTTTCATTCGTACAACTGTTGCTTTAAGTAAAAATGATCGAAGCTCATTGTGCCATTAATGACCAAAGACTTAATTCATTCGAAAGCAGTCGGCTGATTATATTCGGCATAATTATTTTTACAAAGTAATAACATTGTATATAATTAAACAACAATTATATAGATTAATCATTTACGATTATCGTTACACGGCAATTAAACGATAATTATATTGTAATTACATTGTAATTATGAAGCGACTACTTTGTAGAAGTAATGATGGGAAATGTAATCAGATCACACTTTGTTCGTCAGTATCAAAGAGAGTGTGTGTAATTAAGCACATGGAAGTTATCTCGTGTAGTAGAAATTTGTTTTCTAAAATTAATTTGACGCTGAGTAATCCACAAAATAAAATTGACCACTTTCTAGGGGAAATAGTGGAGGAATGTCGGTGTTAAGGGGTTAATCTGCCGCTGAAATTCTATCTTTAAGCGAGTAATTATAGTTCGACTGTTCATTGCGTCGCGATGTTCTCGGAAATTGGGCAATTCCGGTGGCGACGATCGAGCACGCTTTGGATAGCGTCGGGTACGTGCTCAGGAAGCAAAATAAATTCGAAAAGATCTCGCGGAACGGCGACTCCGACAGCAAAACACGAAGGAATGCGTCGGAAATCGCGCAAACAAACTTCGACTGTTGCAGTAAATTCCTAATATAAATAAACGAGCAAACAATTTTACAGAGTGTTTGCCTACAGGTGGGCAATCTTTTAGATTAAAATAAATTGGGATTTCATTAAATTTTGAAATAACAGAGATTCGAACTGTGAAAGCTCCGCTACGATTTGAATTTCTTTTTGGAGAACGGCGAGCCTCTTTGTCCCTATAATGACACTTCCGCGCGCCTGGTTTCGTACATTCGCTCAAAAGAATTCCATCTCTAATGCATCTCGTAGCAAACACGGTCTACTCGAAACGAACAGAAAAAAAAACCCGTGCAACTGTGTTGTGTAATTAGAGGCGTGTTTCGACTAACCCGGTGCGCAATTACACCGCACTGTGCCGGTTAATAAGTTGCATCACACAGAAGCGAGAGAAAATTCCAAAGAAATTGCGAGCGTTCCCGATCGAACGGATCGAGTCGAAATGTTACGCAACCCCCAACAAAGCTGCGCGCGTGTACTCGATGGCTTTAGGGTAAACTATACCAACAGGGAGCTACTAAAATCTTTATCCAGATAAAGTCACGCTGGATAGTTGAGAATCTTCCTTTCTGTCTCTTTAAAAATATTCGAATTTCCAGGGAATGGTTTCAAACTTTCAAAGTGAATTTGGGCAGCAAAAGAAAAATTGCGTATCGCGTTTCCACATATGTTCTATATATCCACCGTAGTTTCATAACTTTCCGAGTTTCCGAGATGGGGATGTTCCAGGGTAAGTTATGTTCTGGGTCTGGGAAACTTTATCAAAACAACTGTGTCGCCATTTTTAGTCGGACCACCGAAGGGTTGACCGATATAGTCACGGATATGCTAAAGTTTCGAAAGAGTATCGTGCCCCTTATAATCGGATTAGGAGTCGTAGCAGCCGTTACCTTGCCCCAATTAACGCCTCGTATTAGGACCCATTTAATTAATGCGAGACGCGCGGGCAATTCGCGACCAAAGTTGGTCAATGGAAACGAATGATAACGGAATGCGTGGCGTCGTGTTCGTACTCCTGACTAACTGCACGGATAATAATTTTGAAATATTCATAAAACAGCCGGTTTTCATCGAGTCGGTCCCGCGATTTCATTCGCGATGGAATTCTTTCGCAATGGAAATGCGACACAATTACGTGAGTAGCGTTGGCTCGTGCATACTTTTTCTCCCTTCCTTCTTTTTTTTCGCTCTACGAGCAAAATGTTCCGCGGTTCTTTCGACTATTCGTCTCACACACAATTTTGATTGCGTACTTCGAATAAAAAAAAAAATTGCTCGAGTCTCGATTGAAATAGAATTACGAGGTTTTACGTGACGAAAGAGCCTATGAAATTTATTGGAGCAATATAAACGAAACTGACATTTATTTGAGCCAAAAAGGCGCATATAAAAATAATGTCTGGCGACTTTTATTTTTATTTGTAGAAAGTGTTGAAATCGTTGATCGTTTATTTCGATGCCTAAGAACATTTCATACCGAGTTTCTCTCATTAATCTTGTCGTATTATGCCTACGAATGTAAAGCATATTAATCCATGGCGCGTATATAACGAAGGGAAGTGTAATTAAATAATCATAGAATAGAATTACCATGAGCTTAATAACAACGAGCGGTTTTTGTATCGTTTCATTGCAGCACGGTGAATACATTTTTGAACAATTGATTCCTAGTAATCTTGCAAACGTTTTTAAATTATTAAATATCGTACAACTGTTAATCGTTTTAATGATAAAATAATGTCTGCGTCCAATGTTACAGAGAGATTTAATCCTTTTAATTTCGAATGGAAAATAAATCCACCTCTATTGCATTTTCCCCTAAACTCACTGGCACGGATCAATTCCGCCTTGATTGCATTCTTGTTATATTCTTCTGTAGCTTTCCGCGCGAGTATTATTTTTAAAATAAATGCTAGCCAAAGCTGCTCGGATTGATATATAATTGTCACAATACGAATATCGTTGTTGTTTTCATTCAAGATATTTCAATTACACACCAATTCAAACTTTCAGAAGTTATAAATTCTCCCCTTTGTAAAAGTTCTGGATTCTGATAATAGAATTATGATAACGTATATCACACAACTTTATTCTTGAAACATTTTATGAATATAGTGTATTGAACATAGTAACAAAGGACGTTATATATTATGTACTTAGCGGCTTTAACTCTATACAAGCCACTAACGTCAGTGTAGCGTTATTTCTCAATTAAGCGTTAAAAGCTGCCGACACCGCTATGGCGTTATTTGTAAATGAGGAGTTACAAATTCGTTGTCGCCAGAGATAGGAAAAATTTTATACACGACCAATAAAAATTCGTGTATACAATTTATTCTTTTATCCGTTCATCGTAAAACGTAATTTGAATTTATTCTATTATTCTATCACTTTCGGTGGATTAATATTTTACTATCGAGTTATTAGTAACCAATTTTTGCGGCTGCAAGCTATGTCTGTCCGGACTGTATTATATAATAGTTTAGAAGGAAACTCGTGGTGCTCATACATTACAGTGACATCAAAATGGAAATGTGTATCGAAGGTCTTCATTACGCAAATGTAGAAGATGACACGCACAACGTGAAAACGAACAAAACAAGAAAAACACGAGTCCGGAACAGGTTAGGCGCGACTTAAATGCTGTTATTAAAACCTAATCTCAAAAACTGCAAGTATTCAGATTGCTATTAATTACTTTTAAGTGCGAGTGTCTGTGCCAGAAATTACAAAGACATACTGCATATTAAACTCACGCGAATATATATGCAAATCTGTTTTGTTTTATGCAACGAATTAGCATATTTTAAAAACTAGTACTTCTTTATAACCAAGACTTTAATGCTAAAATTTTTTTGGAGCATTTGTACTCTGCATTTGGACTTTCCAGATTAATTATATCGTTGTTTGACGTTTTGTCTCTTATTTTGGGAGATATTTAATAATAACATCGTCGCCAGTATATGCAGCGTGCGAAAAAAATGGAACGTAAAATCATTTGCGAAGAACTTTCTGCACGCACTCGAGCAAGCAAGTAAAACTATCGTCGTAAACGTAGCAGAAAACCGACACAAGGCGCGCATAATAACTGCAAACAACAGCAAAAAGTCTATTGCAAATGCAACGTAGGAAAAATAGCGAAGCAAGTAATCTGTTCCGCTGAATGCAACACCGAAACTGAAAACCTAACTGTATCGTGCATTCACGTGCTAGTATCTCCGATCTCTTGTTCATATCAGGATAGAATTTTATTAGAATGTTACTTTTGTTAAAGTGAACGTTCGTCGGTGAACAATATTCCTTCGGTGCATTTTCTGTCAATATTTATTTTGTTATTTCCTGATACACAAAATGTTCCAAAAGTGGTAGTACAACCAAGAAGTAGGTGAAATAATTTTGATAATCAATAGAATATACACTATTTCACTGAGACGTACTTTCAAACTGTCTTCTAGTCAAGAAAACGTTCAAAAAACAATTTTCGACTGTAATGGAACAGTTTCCTGAACGTGGAAGCAAACTTTTCTCGATATCACGTTTCCCCTCAAATTACTTTTCCCGACCCATTTTTCGGATCCATTGGAAAATAAATACTCTGATATTTTCGCTGTATCGATAGTTTCCACTTCCATTTTTCTGGACGAGGAACTTGAGATGTTCAAACGTCTTAAACGTGCAGCCATTTTGCCCCGTCAAATTTAGTTTCCATTTACGTTTCTCGGTGTCTCGGCTGTGCATAACTTTTACAGTGCAAATGGTACTCCGCTTCAATGGTTTCCTCACTTCTCGTCGACGGGACAAAAAAGAAATCGGAATTGCAACACCGTTACGAATCGCCAGTACACGGTAGAATCGAGAACAACGGAGCCTGCTGGCAATGAAACATCGAAACTCGTTGATCGATGAAGAAGCAAGCAAGCGCCCGTTGCGTACGAAATGTTTTCTCGATCGATTGCGCAACTGCACGCGTGTTACAAATTTCCGGTTACAGGCTTACTCAAAACCAGCCGCCGAATCGTTTGGCCATCTTTGACATTTCGCTCGTCGGTTTCTCCGGTCGCGTCCTCTCGACTTCGACTTTCTCGAACAGTTCGATACACGCGATTGCGTAACGCGACGCGAACGCAACCAATTTTTGTCGGAGGAAATAGATGATATCCGTAAAAAGATACAACTGTTTCCGACAGATGCGAGCCGTTCGATAGTTACGTGGGACGAAACGTTCCGTGCAGAATCGAAAGTAGGGCCAAGTATTTCCAAAGATATGATTGAGTCGAACAAGAGGGTACGGTTTATTTTAACGGGAAGAAAAGTACCGGGTTGTGAAAGTGCAAAGGAACTTGCGAAATGAAGAGAAGATTTGCGAGGATCGGGGATGTGCTCCGTGGGAATCGTATCCGTGAATCTTCGCGAGATCCAATTCAAGTTGGAATATTGCGGAGGCGGTGTGTGCAGGATTGTCATTAGTATGTCCTACCGATGTAGGGCAGTTCTGTGATGTTGAATAACACTAGACCCAGCACTGGAAGCCTGTGAAACGGCACAGTAGACAGAACGATTCGCAAAAAATGTCGGAAATGGATTTAGTATCATAACTTGTTGCGTACGAGATGTGGGATATGTGCTAAACCAGTTTGAAGCAGTATCGTTTCTACCTAAGCTACCGAGCCAGCAGCAACCTATGATTTAGAGCGTCGAGTGCCTTGGAATCGAACGATACGATAGTTTGAAATTGCATTTTCGAAGCAGCCTGTATGTTTTGGCCACGCTTTGGAGAAGTGACATCTTCGGAGAAATTACAGTTTTCCGAAGGTGAGAAAATCGATGATGGACGACGGTCGTCGAGTTTGACGAGCGTCGAACACAGCTCAACGGACGGCCAGCAACAGATGCTCACGTTTCATTATTCAACGTCGTCTCGCTGGTAGCTGTAAAACGTAAGCGTTATCGAGAGAAAACACGTGCCGGAAGAAATTACTATGATAATCTACGACGAACGACGATTGAAATGTCCTGCTAATTAAACTGGCAAATTGGCCGCGTTTGACGACAGCTTCGTTCAGTATCGATAATTGTCATTGGCGTGATTAATTGGACTAATAGATATATGGGGAAGGTGATTTCAAATGCAAACTCGGTATAGCACGATCTATTTAAGGATCAAAATCAGCTCGAAATTGATCGAATTTCCCATCGTTCCGGCACAGTGAAATAAAGCTTCTTTTGAACAGAGTTCAGCCCTTTGGAATCGTCAGCTTGCCCTAATCTCGTCCTGACATTATCGCGTTACGTTTCGCGACCTTTTAGGTGTCATTAGCCTTGCCTACTTCTTTTCACACTATATTCGAAACACAGCATAACATTTTCCTGTTTCTAACGACCTTCTGAAATTGATGCCCATGTAAAGTACACGCGCGAACAAAATATTCTGTTTTAATGAATGGAAGCCGATACACGTGTAAAAAGAGGAATAAATTTTATCCGAAAGCGTTTAAGGGGTGGCCCTAGCAATTCTGAAGGCGCGTCTAATGAGAACCTAAGGCATCGCATACCACGCATTGTGTAGTCACGCGCGACGACATGTATTACACGATGCTCGGACATTCTACCTACCCCTGCCATAAGTTCTGTTACAAGTACGCGGCTATTGTTCTGTTACGCGTATTGGACCATAACGGAAATATGAGAAACGTTATCGTTCCTCGTAGAATTAATTTTTATTTCGAAATCTACTTTTGAAACGCTACGACTTCTACTGGACAATTTAGACGACAGTACGAGCAATATTCAGACAGACGAATTACCGATGACCGATGATGAAAAGTGAAATCGAGCGATCTCCTCGGAGTACGAAGGCGAGAGTGTGCCAGAGTTATGCTGGTAATTAGAGATGCTGGTTAAGCTAGAGGTTGCGGTGTAAGTAAGAGTTAGGTCCTGAAGTTGAAGGTCAGGTGTCGTGCTCAGATCGGTAGGATACGTAAGTCATCCCGAACTACAAACGCGCGAGCCAAGGAAGTAACACGCATAAGGAAATTTTCAATTATGTCCGGGTACAAATCGATCCTGGTAGGTGGTAGCAATCAAATTCTGCCGCGAGATAAATGCGATAGACTTTCATACTTGAATTTCCGACACGGATTGTTTGGTACGCGATACTTTTTCGATATAGCCGCGACATTCATGGATTTATTATTGGTAACCTTTAACCTTCCTGGCGGGCACGTGCATTTCTCACATTTTACTCGTCCTCGATAACAATTGACGTAACAGAATTCCACGTGGACGTTCCTAACTCCAAATTGAACAAACATGGCAACGCAAATGTTCTATTGCCAGACTCGATGGAACATAGAGCTGCGTCTGAGGCAAGGTTTGTTGAGTCAGCCCAACTAACGAGTTCGCTAACACAATCTAGATGAAACTTATTTTCGTAACCATTTTGAATCTCAGCTTGCATCTTAGACCGATGTTGTCTATTGCAATTGTCACTTGTAACTTTTCTACTACGCGTTTAACAGGTCAACGTACTTGTAACGGGAAATATGGTAAAAATAAGTATCCAATTTACATACTCCGATGTGTTGTCCATCGATGAAGAGCTGTGGTAATTGTATCGCCGTCAGTCCCAAACGATCTCTCAATTCGCCCTGGAGTTCCGCGTCGCCGAAAAGGTCCAGCTCGTCGTACTTGACCATGTGCGTCCTCAGGATCTGCTTCACCTTCTTGCAGTTGTAGAACGTTTTCCTGACAATGCCAGAGGTCGTCGTGTAAACCACCACCTTGCCCAACTCCTTCTTTATGTACGCCTGAAACCAGACACGACACGGTCGTTGTTAAATATCGCGGACAACGTGTACATTGTGTGCCCGTCGGCCGAAATTTCGAGTCGATTGTGACCGTCCATTAGAGAACCCCTGTAATTTAATATCAGGCTTACAATAACGTTGTATGTGCTGCGGTCCGCAACTTTCGACAGGATTCAAGTTCCCGCAAATGCCAACCGTGAGAGCGCCATTTTGTTGGCTTCGGTCAACACGTGTTGTTAGAGACGACGGACAATGAACAACTGACGCTAAAGTGGACAGTTACGAGACAAGAAGCTTCAGATCATTTACTTTATAGAGGTTTCTTGGCGCGTAACTAGGTTCAACCATTTTGGTATAGGTTTTTAAAATAAAGACTATCCAACGCTCAGATAGTTTGTACAGAATTCAATTAAAACGCACTTGTCTTTAATAGAGTAAAATGAAATCTAGGTTTTATGAGAAATTATGAATAATTCGAGGTTAATTTGATCCTTTGTTCGAGACTGTGCTCCTTTCCTGTTGCGAGTGTTTCAGAGAACGTTTTAAGCAATTGTTGCGTCGTTATAGCGGCTGATCGGTTGCAAATTGCAATATAAAGCCGGATAAAAGTTTATCGTAAACCGATCGAATTGAAAATTGAACCGCGAATGGTAACAGAGATATCGTTGAGATAATATCGCTTTTCGGAACGATTGAACTTCCTTTAACGAACGATACCTTGCCTTGGAGCCGTGTCGTACGCACCGTGCGCCATTGAAACTTCGATCCTAGTTCGGATTTGCATGCGTTTGCAGGCCGGGGCTCGTAAGGATATTCCGATCCGCGCGGGCGGTCCATTGTATCGCTAAATCCATTTCATTAACCCGTAAACGGTTACCGTTTACGCGATACGTTCTACAACGTTGCCTGTAATTGTGTACCTACTCTATTTACATATTGCATTCACGATACACGATCGAGTGAAGGTAATGGACTTCACGTAGGCATACCGTGAACGTGGGTGTTACAAGATAATGACAGCCGATGTGATACATGTGGAATCAGAAACGGGACTGAGATGCGAATAACACGCGATCACAGAAGTCGTCTATTATGTAATTGGAACGGGGGGGACGATTAGAGTGCACAAACAGGTGGACAACGATGCATAGAATTATGGAAACAGAGTAGACAGTATCGGATCTATACTTATCTGCCAATGACAAATTCCATTATAGATTATAAAAAATTTTAATAACACGGAACCCTCAGAAAAAATACGATCGTTATCAGAGTACGTAGACAATATCGTTGCATTATTAAAACTTGATAGTACGCTCGGCACGTAGTACTCCGATGGCTTAATACCGTTTCAGTTTTTATCGGAACGGCCATTTTCCATTAGCAGTGCTACCCGACCGTCCTGTAATTTTAATACAGTTAACGCTGGTTCGCGGCTTCAGACTTTCCCAAGAATTCCGCGATAGGTATTTTGAATATCGCGCGGCGAAAATACGCTAAATTCCCATAACGCGTAGCGGGACATCGAGATTTCCAGTTATATGCACCAGTTTGCGCTTAGAAACGTGTCTACCGTTTGTTTGCGCGTGGAAATCACGACGCCGCGACCGCGGTATCGAAATATCATGCAACCTCTCGCGGAATCGTCCGTGGCAATAACTTAATTAACGCTCGCATACGAATCGTAGCTAAACGTTTCCGTTCCTCCGGGAGGAAACAACCGAATCCGGAGTTCTCACGTATGTATGTTACTCAATTCGCGAGCAAAGCGATCAAGGCTAACGAATATTATAGATCTCCGCGCGGCTACTTTCAACGGGACCGCTAATGAACACGCGTGTAAACCGGATCCGTCGATCCAGGTGCATGATCGACGCGATAAAAGGAAACTATAATTGCATAGGAATTCTCGGTAGGATCCTGACGGTTGTTTTGTTTCCTCCGTTTACGTGCCGATAGTAATTTTCTAATTGCACGATTTAACGCCAGGTCGTCGAGATGAGTCGACTTAGCAAACAATCGTATGAAATCACGAGCCTGTGCCAAGATCGTTTAGAGTTTAAAATTTTCCAATTACGTAACAAACGTTCCCAAATATGAATCCACGGGTCGTTTGGACGACTAAAATATTAAAGAGGAATTCGTTTGCCTGGCAGAGGGAGCAGAGATCAGGATGGATCAACGATTAATTATGCGGGGAACGACTGTTTCGTAGACAAATGACATCAGCGACGATTTCTCTGGAAGTGGGATAATGTTTATTCGCGAGATCCAGTCGCCTCGCGATTGGAATTTTCTGAGACGAAGCCTCGAGAGCTGCAGCGTCTCGATGCGCACAAGTTTAATGGATTGAGCCTGACGAGGTATTGCTATGCTCAGCACGCGGTCGAGCGTTTTCATATTTTAGAAAGGAAAAAAACCTCGTTCTCGTAAACTGCGCGTAGTCAAAGCCTGTGGCATTAAAATCACGCAACTACGACGTCTCTCGTTTTAACACAATACAGCGTGGCTTACATTCTTTAATTACATTAAGATAATTCTAAAACGCACGAGGTGGATCGAGAATTTTTAATCTGCTCGATTTCTCTGGTTACAGAATTTGAGACAACCTAGTCTTTTCTACGAACAAACGCGTTTTCCCTAGGCTAGAAATTATTAATTATCCGAGTGAAACGTATGCTAAGTTTTACTTTTTAATGCAGAGCAGTCGACGTGCTCTCAATAACCAATATCCGGCGATACCATCACCGTTGCTGGAATAATATTAAATATCGAATTCGAGACTGTGTTTCCGCCATTACAAACACAATTTCTAAAGTCGATGTAATTATTTTCCTGGGGCAGACAGTACGTACAAATTTTCCTATTTGAAACAGAGTAGCTGGCGCGTCCCTAATAACTGTCGGTGCGGAGTACAATAACCGTGAACAGCACATTGTCATTTCGCTAATAACAGTTTTGCGTTTAGCGTCAGACTTTCGTTTCAAGAGTGCGCGCCAAGAAAGAGTTTCGTTTCTCCGAGACGGACAACGTTCCAAAAATAAATGTGCCTAAGTTCCAAAGGAATCGGGCCACGGCCCCGATGTACCAAAGGATTCGTTCCGAAAAATTTCGTTCCCTCCGAAGAATTCGCGAGACTGATAACGTTAACGGGATTTCGACGATTATAAGGAATTTCAGTAAAAGAGAAAGCGTGCGTGCATATTCAGCAGCAACGAAAAAAACATATATTTAGAAGAAAGAAGAAGAATTTGAAAGTCTCGAGCATCTATTTACATGTCTATCCTCTAATTCGGGATCATCTTCAGATATACGAGAATCAAAATTTAGTCAAATTTCTTCGAACGATCGAATACGATTTGGCTGGCGCGTCTGTCCATTACTCGCTGCTTCTACTTACGTTGATGTCTAAGCCATATTTTATTACACGCCATAACCGATAAATTTACGTCGATTTTTCCTGCATACAGTTACCATTGGGACTCAAGTAAATTCTTTTCGTTCGTACGGTTTATTAAGTTCAAAAGAAGCCGTTGTTACGATGCAAATTAGACATCATTAGAGGATTTTTCAGTGGAATTATTCCAACGTATACTGCCTTAGACGTTATTTAATGTTTGAACAGTTTCCTGTTTGCAGAGAATTTATATGAAACTTAGCAGGAAGAAGAATTTTTTAAGATTTTCCGTGTGGCGACAATATTGTAAAACAGGAAAGAATTTTAATATGAATCAACGTAAGAAAATAGCTGTACACAACAAAGAAAACAAATTTACGTCTTACGGAACGTATTTATATAAAAGACAATTTATTCAGAGCCAAGTTGTCGTTCATCATTTTCCGACTTACCAAATATACCAAATTTAAGTTTAAAATTGGGGGCATTTAGAATCCTCTTTCGTTCCAGTTTTTAGATTGCGAGACGTCCCCTACTTTAGAAAACACTGATGAATATTTAATGTACCATCTGATTAAAATTACAAAGCTCGACGGAAGAGATATACACCGTGGTAGAAATAAATTCGTTGTTAACGTTGGTAGTCAATATCCTAAACGTATACGTCCTTCAATTAAACTTTCCAGTCGAGACGCGTTCGACGTATCGTGTAGCAAAGGCATTGCTCTCGTCTACTATTGATTGGCTGCCATGTTCATGCAACTGGAGCTTCAAGTCCGACTGGCAGCTATCGATAAATTTCACCGATAAATAGTTACTTAACCTGAATGTGGGACATTTCGATAGGCGTTGCTCATAAAATTCCTTAATTAATTCACGGGAGCGCGAACGGTGAGAAATAAAAAGGAGAATAAATTGTTCTAAAAAACAGCATTGGAGGGAGTGTCTAGAAAGCAACACCAACTCACCATTCTGCTCAATATCTGGAGGTTACAGGAGGGTTAGATTTTGACTAGACGAAGATTAGTTTTTTCTGATTTCCCGAGGACTCGTTCCCATTCTTCCCCGATGTTGTTAGAAAGTTTCCCGACGTCGTAACAGCAGACATTCCTCAACGATTTATAAAAACGACGAATAAAGAATCATTGTCTCTATTCGCCGTTGTACACGGCCGGTTAATTTACATTTAACGCTACGAACGTCGCAACGTTGCGACTTGATCCTCGTTAGATTCGTTCGCCACTGTCGAACTAACGCGAAAACGTTAAGGCTAAGCTTCAACGTGCAATATTTTAACAAATATCTTTCGAGCGTGTCGGGGGTAGAGGTCGAGTAATTTAAAAGGGCAATATGTACGAAATTGGATCTTCCTGATCGCCATTTCTCAAACGTCACAACTAATGTCGGAGGAAGCGTGAGTTGTGTCACGTAGTTCCATGGGTTCCTGGGAAATTGAGTTTCCATGGCTGTCCTCCCTCCAATTTAGATAGTCATTGTCGAATCTCTGACTCAATTGACCATTCAAGGCCACTCCACCCAATCATGAATCACGCAAGATATGACTTCTACTTGAACTGTGCCAATTTGCCTCTGCGTTTCGGAA